GTGAGGCACACCTATTTCTTTCAGAACAATCCATATTTTCTCATGATCTACCGGTACACAGTCAAAGGCTTTGGTGTAATCTATAAAGCATAGACTGATCTTCTGAAATTCTTCAGTGCTCTCCAGTAGCCAGTGGATATTTGCAATGTGATTTTGAGAGCCTCTTCCTTTTTGAAATCCAGCTTGGACATCAGGCATTTCTTTTTCCATATAAGGTAAAAGCCTTCATTGCAACACCTTGAGCATCACTTTGGTCACACAAGAAATTAAATGAATGGTCCTGTAGTTACTGAAGTCCTTGGCATCTCTGTACTTAGGGATAAGACTGTATATTGAGTTTTTTCAATCTGCGGGGTATTGTTTTGTTTTCCATATTTGTTGACATGTTCGTGTTAGGACTGTGACAGATTCATTCTCTGTGGCTTGGAACAGATCTGTCGATATTTCATCTACCCCTGGTGATTTATCATTTCCAAATAATTTCAGAGCAACTTTCACTTGACTTTCTAGAACTGCAGGTTCTTCATCATAGGCTTCCTCTTCAAAGGAGGTCTGTCATCTTTTTGTTCCTTCTGTATACTGTTTCCAGCTTCTCTTTATTTTCTCTTGATCAGATAGTGTGCTTTCATGTTAGTTATTCAGCATTTGTAGCTTAAATTTCCCTTTGAATTCTTGGATCTTCTGGAAGAGATTCCATGTTTCCCCCTTCTTCTTCTTCTTCTTCTTCTTCTTCTCCTTCTCCTTCTCCTTCTCCTTCTCCTCTCTCTCTCTCTCTCTCTCTCTCTCTCTCTCTCTCTCTCTCTCTCTCTCTCTCTCTCTCTCTCTCTCTCTCTCTCTCTCTCTCTCTCTCTCTCTCTCTCTCTCTCTCTCTCTCTCTCTCTCTCTCTCTCTCTCTCTCTCTCTCTCTCTCTCTCTCTCTCTCTCTCTCTCTCTCTCTCTCTCTCTCTCTCTCTCTCTCTCTCTCTCTCTCTCTCTCTCTCTCTCTCTCTCTCTCTCTCTCTCTCTCTCTCTCTCTCTCTCTCTCTCTCTCTCTCTCTCTCTCTCTCTCTCTCTCTCTCTCTCGTTGTTCTAGTATTTCCCTTTGTCTCTTCATGACAACCACTGAAAAACTGCATTTGGGATTCTGACCCTGCTTCTGTCACCTTTTACTTTTACTTCTTGACTATCCTTTGCAATGTAAGTGCACAGGGTAGCAAAGATAAAAAGGCTTGTATCTGCTTCCCTAACAGTTTGATGTGGTGACAGTTTTTACCTAGAGGATCTCTTTTAAAATAGGGAGTGCCATTCAGTCAAGTCAGGCTCCCCTTTGCTGCTGAAGTGTTATAGTTCAAGTACTGAATGTGAAACAGTAGGTCTAAAACTATGGGGAAATGAATCAGCAACTTTACAGCAAGTGATATCTGTTTCCTACACTCTGTGGATGCAACTTTGTTCTTCCCAAGCCTTGGTCCCAACTAGGCCATGGACATGTGCAGTTCTGACCAGTTGTCATGGCAACTTCCCTCACACTGTCATGGCAGTTTCCAAGGTGGGGTTACCGGCTTGACACATCCTGTGTCCTTGATGCAGGCAGTGTTATTTCAGGAGCAGGTGCCATTCCACTGCATTGCCTTATTAGCTCCTGCAGGGCAGCTAGTAGGATGATGATGTAGCACTTCTTTCTGGAAACTTGGGGCTTTTCTTCTGCCTTCAACTTGTTAGCTGCTATGCTGAGCCAATATTGCTTAAATTGGGCACATTTCTGTTGCCTCTTGTGCACATTCAGTACATAGTCCTAAACACTTGGGGCCAGCTGATAAGTTAAGCAGGTTTGGCTCTGGGGTGTGTATGTGTATGTTGCTTACTTAAAACATATCTAAACTGCTTGTGATCAAACTCATTACAGGGTGGCATAATGCAAACGCTATAGTTAAGCAATATAGATGGGACAACAACTAGAAACCATATGTGAACTACACTTTTCTATGATGGTGTACGGATGATGGAAGAGTTAAATATCAATTGATGTCTACAAGAACAAGTGATGGATCTGTCTGGCATGTGTCAGTGGGATATCACAGATCCCAGTGTAGCATCCCTGACAGAATGTAAGAAGGCACTCATACATTCAGCAAGACACCGTAGGGAAGACTGGGATGTTGTAGGTGTGGTATGACTTGGACTACGGCCAGGGAGATCCAGGTGGGAGTCCGTATTTGGTTATGTGTGGTATTTGCTCTTATTGTGGCATACCTCACAAGATGACGGTTGTCAGAATGACATGGAGGAGAACTACAGTATGTATATGATGCATCCTGAATAACTTAAGAGGAGGAATGGGATGAAAAAACAATAAATAAATATAATCTAGATTCCAGCCGTGAATCTGGCCTGCCACGTTACCGTATTTTTCACACCATAAGACGCACTTTCCCCCCACAAAACAGGGGGGTGGAAAGTCTGTGTGTCTTATGGAGTGAAGAAAACAGATTATATTTTCCTGTTTTCTTCTCCTAAAAAATTGGTGAGTCTTATGGAAAGGTGCGTCTTATGGAGTGAAAAATACGGGCAATTTCCTTGATTTTTCTGCATTTGGTAATCTGGCTGTTGGCTGTGTGACCTGATAGTTGAAAAGCTTTCTATGTTGAGGTAACACAAAGTCAAATGAAAATTTGCTCTGTGGCAGCCCTATTAACACATGCAAATAATCATTTATTGTGGCAAACATCAGAAAACTTAAGATGTCCCCAAGTATATTGTATTTGTAATCAAGTGTGAAGGCACATGTAAGTGACACACATACAGATGAGAAAGGACCCTGTGCCTTTAGAAGAAAAGTATGGTAGACTTAGGAGCAGATAATCTGAGAAATGAGAAATGAATTGTTTGGATCTGGTATCTTGGATCTGTATGCCATCAAAACAGCCATGCGTCTCATACTTATTAATAACCTAAAAGTAGGCTGGTATTGAAGTAGTAAAATTGGTTTTGAATTAAAAGCTGGGTGTACTGTGACAGTTTTCTCATGATTGCTTCTACACACAACCCAGTGTGGCATTTAGCTAGTGAATCTGCTTCCTGACAAAACACGTGGGTTATGTAAATTGGCTCCAATTTTTACAGTCGAATATCTTTTTTGTGTGTTCTTGATGAATATTAGTGAGCATGAATGCACACCTGTGCCTGTACATAAAAGACTTAATTTATACCTGATTTCAATATGAGGTATCACATGTAAAATACATGGAATAATTATACAGAGGAATGTCCATGAGCATGTGCTGATTCCTTTTCAACACCGTTATGTTGAAAATTAGTTCCACCACCTGCAGTTAAAGGGAAAAATGGGGAGGGGGCTTTTTTTATAGAATTACAAGCTGTTTTCTTTGATAGCTGTGAAAAACAGAGAAAATCTCAAAGGCTTTCATGGCTGGGATCTGATGGTTGTTGTGGGTTTTTCGGGCTCTTTGGCTGTGTTCTGAAGGTTGTTCTTCCTGACATTTCACCAGTCTCTGTGGCCGGCATCTTCAGAGGACTGGAGTAGGAACTCTGTCCATGCTCTGGAGTAGGAACTCTGTCCAAGCTCGAGTAGGAACTCTGTCCATGCTCTGGAGTAGGAACTCTGTCCATGCTCGAGTTGGAACTCTGTCCATGCTCTGAAGATGCCGGCCACAGAGACTGGTGAAATGTCAGGAAGAACAACCTTCAGAACACAGCCAAAGAGCCCGAAAAACCCATAGAGAAAATCCCTCAAAATCCTAGGCTGTTAGCATTGTTCTTTGAGATTCTTTGTTTTTAGTGCAGGGAGATTTTGTTTTGCTAATTAGTTTCAGACCTTTCTAGTTAGTTTCAGAAATAGAATTGGTTTTAGCTAAACAGAAATGAGTCTGCCATTTTCTGACAGTTTTCTAAATTTCTTCCAAGTTGGATTTTTTTAAAAAAATCACTATATTTGTCATGGTTCTTGAATGGACACACCTACTGCTCTGCTTTCTTTTCTAAACATTTAGGTTGGGCTTCAAATACCACTGAATCGCATTGGATTCACCAAACTGCAACTTCTCATCAGTGCCAGACTATGCTGGCATTTTGCAATCCAAATAGATGCAAAACAGCTGGGTCGCACATGGAACATATTGCCTTGTACTTCAGGCAGTGCTTCATATGCATGAAAACCTCCAAGGTCACAGTCCATAACCACCTAGTGGAGAGTTCAATAAAAATAATCATGAAGACTGTAAGGTGAAGCCATAAGAAGGTCTTAATGGTTTCTGAAGAGATATTAGCTGTCGTGGGAACTGTCTGAGATGTTGCCCAGTGCTAGTGTTGAATGGAGAGAGGAACAGCATGAGCTAATAGTGGCTCCTTTAACCACACTCACTGAGTAGCCCACTAGTGCAGATGGTCATTTCGGTGGCCAGTGACCAGAGGCGTTGAAAGTAATGTCATTCTGGTCTCATCAGCATTAGCCAGGATTACCAGTGTAGAGGGTATGCTGGAATTTGTAGTCTGAAGACATCTGGAGGGCCACAGGTACCCATCTAAAGGCATGTGGTACAGCATTTTTTTGTTGAAGCTACTCAGGCCTGAGCCTGGGAAGTGCCTTGGATAGAACATGGCGCAACAAACCCCCCATGTCTGGCACACTGTTAAGTTCTATCCCAGAAGAAAGGCCGGATATAAAAGTTGTAAATGAATAAGGCAAGGGTCTCTTTGACTCTTGCTGCTTAAGATAAACAGGAAATACCTGGGATCTCAAAGCTTCTATGAACAAAAAATGTCCTATGCCACTGAGCTGTGGGACTCCTCTCCTAATGCCTTTTAATATCTCCATGGTGCCTTGATCTCAATAGTGAATGACTTCTCCAGAACTCATTATGGTAGGGAGGACTTCCAAGTTTAAGCTTGAGACCTCAGAACGTGGATGTTGTTGCTATACCTCTGACTTTTTTTTTTGCTGTCTGTGGCATACCACCCGTGTATGTGCTTCCTTATTGATGGTGCCTTTCCTCTCCTTGCAGATCCCTACTCCATTGCAGGCAGTGATGGCAGCATCTCGGCTTCCGTGGCTTCAGTCCAGCCACAGGCATCCAGCAGCTCGGCTCCCAGCTCCCCTGCCTCCCGTCACTCAGTCAGCACCCTCAAGAAATGGCTGACGAACCCTGTGCGCAAGCTGAGTGCTGGTGGGCTACCTCGGAGCGAACGGCCACTCAGGAAAACAGAGGGCCGGACCCGGCGACATGGGCGGCAAGAGGACCGCAAGAGCATCGACCTGGGCCTTCTGGGCCAAGGGGAGGGGCCCTTGGTTGGCCCACGGGCGTCGATTGGCATGGTAAGAGAGTGAATAAAAAGACAGACGTATAGAGCTAGAGGCCATCTGGTTCAAACTTCTGCAGCATGGCAAGGCTAGCTAGACCCGGCCTCTTCTATGGAATCTAGATCTCAGCACAACCACAGACGGAGAGCCAACCCCTATGCCATCTTTCTCCAACCTGATGCTCTATTTTAGGCCATGCATCTTCTTCTGATATAGTCTGGAACATGAGACTGGGGTCCCTGTCTCAGCCTCTGAACCCTGTACATGTGTCACTAGGGCCTTCGAGATTGTAAAACCTATGGGTTCCAATAAGTTTTGAGTTCAGAGTTGGGTTTGTCCTGAATCCAAAAGATCCCATAGAATTTGTTGGAGATGTGAGTACGGAAGAATTATCGTTTTTAGACCGTTACTCCAGAATCCTATAACCAGCATGGGTAGTTTTAAAGACTATCGTGCTCTCCTCACATACACCCAACTCTGAATCCATTTGAAAAACAAAACCTACTTTTGTTATTACAAAAAACTACTTTCACTTAATTGTTTCCAGAGTGGCACCGGGTGCTTCCACCCGTCTATCCTCTCCTGGACATTCTTTCCACAGATCCTGTGGGCATTGCAAAAATTGTTAAGTGAATACTTGCGGTGGAATCAGTGGGACTTAATTTTTCACTTGGAGCTGTGAAACTGAGCGTGCTGTTGGTCACCTTTGCTCATGGTATAGAATGAACTGGTAATAGGAAAGGGGTGGCAGGGGGGAAAGGTCCGTTTTGTCTGTGGGGCCATTTGCTGATCTGCAGCCTGGGTGGGGGAGAACAGAGTGGCCAGGTGCAAAATAAAACAGGGCAACTCCACCTTCACAGTGTTGCAAAAGAGGGTATGTCAATGCATGTAGCTGGTATGATAAACGGCATGCAATGAAATGCCCTCCTTTTACACTAGTATGAATTGTGTCTTTTTCCGCAACCATTTTGGGACCCAGGAGAGGACATCTTGGGCAGTATTATCAAGGCTTTGAAGTTGTCTTAAGGAAAGTCCACCTTTCTATCTCTTTTTACACGTTTTGGTGCATTGCGTAGACCTTCCTTTGCAGGAAAGCTTTTTATCACGTACATGTTTATTTCGTCTGAAGCTGTTTTAATAATCACCACCAGGCTTCTTTTGATTTGTGTTTTTGTGCCTCTGCTAAATTTTTGCAGGTTTTTATGTTTTTAACAGATTGTTAGCTGCTGTGTAGTCTTTTAGAGGAAAGACAAAGGCATTGCTGTTATTACAAAAACCACATACTTTCTTGAAAATAATCCAGTCCATTTTGTTATAGCCATCTTCCCACTGTCACGTCTTTTCTGAATGATGACTTATGTTCAGTTGAGTAATATCTATTCCCCTTGCTTGGGCTGGAAACACCATTCGGAAGGGTGAACCAGCCGCCTTGGGGGGCTGCAATAGGTAGTGATGTAATTTGTTGTATTTTTTGCTCTCCCCTGAAGTGGGAGCGACATTTGTGAGATTTTCTGCCATAGGTGCCAAAAAACCTGGCTGGCTTTGGGTACTGTATACCTTGACATGGGTCATTCTGCCTGTGTGTGTGTGTGCACGCACGCACACACATGCGTGTATGTGCCACACTTCTTGTTGCCTCCCAGATCGAAAAATGTATTGGGTCAGCCTTGGCATGCTGCAGTAGATACACACTCACTTGCTTTGTGTGTATGTGTGTGTGCGCATGTGTACATGGGTTCTGAATCAACAGCTTGGGCTGATATCTTCTTACCAGTGACAAATTCTTCAGTCTCACTAAAACCAACCCTTCCCATACCTCACCCAGGACAATTTCCCCTCAGCCAGGCTTGCATCCACTTACAAATCCAAGCTGGATGATGATGGGATAGATTTTTTTTAAACAGTTAGGATGTGAGTAGAATGAAAGCAGCCTGTCCCATCCAAGAGTTTTCTTCTGCAGGTCTGTCTCTGTCTGTTTCTTGGCTTCACAAGGGAAACATGGAGCTCATATCTCTGTCAGCCAGTTTTAAAAATCAGTGAAAGCAACTAGACTTTTTGGAGAGGGACACCTAAGAGGCAACTCTAGAGAGAGCTGGTGGTAACATGAACTGAGAAGGTCAGGACCTGACTGAAGAAAAATCAGCTGTCGATTGTCCTGCCTTCAGTGTGTTAGGTACCTGGCTGGTGAGCCAGAGGCTGGGAGTCCAGTTCCCCACTATGCCTCTCAGAAGAGACAGCCTGTGTGGCCTTGGGCAAGCTGCACAGTCCCAGATTGTTCACGAAGAAGGGAAGGTGTAAGCCATTTTTGACTGCTGTCTACCTAGAAACTCTTGGAAAGGGTCACCAGAAATGAGAATTGAGTTGAAGGCACCTTGGGTGGGTGGGGAGATTTTGCCAGGATGGAAAACTACCATGGGCTAACATCTTCCCTTATATTACAGGATAGCAACACTCACCTCCCAGATCTCTCCCTGCTGTCCAGCCTGCTCGAAGGAGACAGCTCAGGAAAATCCACCCAGGTGAGCTATGGCGTCAGGGGACAGAAATGTCTCTCCCTGCGATGTCTGGGAAGCAGAGGGTCAAGCGTTTCTCTGTTGCATGGGCAGGGACTTCTACATGGAGGGCTTCTCACATTAGCGTAGTTGGAAGGCTCTTGCAGCTTTTACATCATTTTCTCTTTAATGGATTTTCCCTACTGAGAAGAAAGGGAGATGAAGCAGTGGGAGAGTTTGAAGCAGAACGTGCTGTAATATGAGACTCCTATGAAATTTGGTGGATCTGGACTGGATATGGTGTGTTTAAGCTGTTTGCTTAGCACCCAGTTTACAAGATCAAAAGCAATTTTTTTTAATTTTTATGTCTTAGCAATTCTATTTAACACTGTGGTCAAAATTGTCTCACAGTTACACTGCAGTAAAGAAAACAGCATAACTTTGGGAAGCAAGTTGCCTCAATTAGTTGTATGACTCAGTACACAGTACTGAAAGCATAACTTTGGGAAGCAAGTTGCCTCAAGTTAAGTAGTTGTATGACTCAGTACACAGTACCGAGGCCAAAATCCTGCTGTGCAATATTTTGACAGAGTAAGCCCATTTGAATCAACATAAGTTAGAGAGGAGCTGGCTCACCAAATCCCCCTTGATTCAGTGGGTTTACTCTGGTGTAATTTACTATCCGAAGCAATAGGATTTTGGCCATAATGTTTATAGCAGGCAGCAGCTTGCCTCCAAAAGTTATGTTGTTTGTGTTACTGTGACATAACTGCACGAGAGAGCCCGGCCTATAGCACAACTCACTGTCGCTGCAATGAGCAAATTCGCTGTCTTCATTCTTGGTTTTTTTTCCTTTCTGTGCCTCTCATGTACAAAGCATGTAATGATGGATGCAATGCATTCAGTTAGATTTAGAACATGTAGAGTGTGTAGCCCTTCAGATTTTAATTCTGCTTGACATATTTGAGTGTCCCGGTTAGAAAAATTGAATATTATCATCTGGCAGCTTCCAGTGTCCCATACCATGGTGCATGCTGGCTGGGGCTGATGAGAGTTGCAGTCCAACAGTATCTGGAAAGGCACGCATTCTCCACCTCTGGTTTACAAAAGAAAGTGTACATTAGTGCCTCGCAAGATGAATTTAATTTGTTCCGCAGTTAATGTTGCCTTGCGAAAAATTCATCTTGCGAAACGCGTTTTCCCATAGGAATGCATTGAAATCTAATTAATGCGTTCCTATGGGCTGAAAAAGTCAGAACAAAGTCAAATGTGGTTTACAAAGGGTTTATTAAGTACTCTATAAAGCCATAATATTGTGCAGATGATTTAAAAAATTTCAGTCAAAAAACACTAATTTTTTAAACATCATAGAGAAACATTTAAAAATCAGCAAACATGAGACAGGAACAAAAAACGGAAAACATTTGTCTTGCGAAGCACGGCCATAGGAACACTTGTCTTGTGAGTCATCAACCCCATTGCCAAACCATTTGTCTTGTGAGTTTTTTGTCCTGCGAGGCATTTGTCTTGCGAGTCACCACTGTACTAAATTTGAAGATTAAATGCTTATTCTTGATCTTGTGCAGTGTTCACAGAAGCCGTGACTTAGTGTTAGATGGCATGTGCAAGCTCCCCAATTCAATCCTGTTCCCTGATTCACTAAGGCAGACAAGGCAAGAACTACTCCCCAGACCACTCCTGCCTGTCTCCTCACTGGGTGCAAAGGATTAAATCCTTACCTGTGTACTCCTCCTGTTCAACCTGTAGTCTCTTCCTCTGAGAAAGAAAGAAAGGGAGAGAGGGAAGGAGGGAGAAGTGGGAAACAGCAACAAGTAAAAGCAAAAAGTGTGCTGCTTATATATAGCCCCATAGCATTTAAGGCACTGTCTGGATAGTTTACAATTTAATTATGCAGGCTACATGTTCACCCCACCCCACCCCAGCAAACTGGATGCTAAATTTACCAACCTCAGAAGAATGGAAGGTTGAGTGAACCTTGAACCAGGTATGTGGGATTGAACCAGGATCCCAAGCAGAGTTTGGCTTTAGTACTGCAGTTTAACACACTGTACCACGAGTACAAACCTTTCGAATTTGGGTCAAAGTGTAAGTACTGCAGTTTAACCACTGTACCACGAGTACAAACCTTTCTAATTTGGGTCAAAGTGTATTTTTTTTTCCTGCTCCTCAGCTGCTGTGTTTGGAATGAATGAATGGGTTGGGCTGAGTCTTGAGTGAATGCCTCTGTGTGTGCGCACGCGTATGCATGCATGCGCACGCACCCGCACCCGCACCCCCCCACACACACACATGAATCAATGCCCAGTTGTGCCTGTAGTCCTGCCTAGTGGTCCTGCTTCTGTTTGTCACCCGCTGCCACTGACCCTGCTAAGAGATTTCAGGTGAAGGCAGGTCTCAAAAGAAATCTCTGCCAGAGACCCTGAGAAGGCAGAGAGTAGATAGAAGGGCTGAGCTAGATAAGGTGGCTCCATCAGATGACTCCATAGAAGGGAATTTAATATGTTTGTAGGAAACACTGATTTCAGCAGGCTTGTGTGCTCTTATCTCTCCAGAGGGTAAGCTGTTAATATTTTATCGCCCTACATTTTATTAGCAAGATTTTAAGATGTGGGGAGTGTTTGTTTTGGTGTCACACAGAGTCAGGCTTTGAAAGCCAAAAAAAAAAACAGGCGGAGCAAATATTGAACTGCAAATGTTTGGAATGAACAACATAATTATCTCACAAAGATAGAAAGTCATAAAAGTTCCAATACCAATTTATTTATTTTAAATTATGAAAGAAGCAGAAGTTAATGAAATTGTCTGAGATTGCAAGCTTAATATATATTTAAACCCCATGAATGTAATGAGTTTGAGTCGAAACATATAGGATTGTGCTGTAACTCTGATATGAATCATAAAATGGAGGATGATACCTAACAAACTACAAAAGGAAATGGCATCTGTTTATCTTTTTTTAAGCTGATACGATTATCAAGAAATGCCATTTGATTTCTTCACAGTTCCATAAAGGAATTTGTTTTCATTTATTTCCTTTTTAGATGGAATGAATGCTGCTACGTAACTGCAGAACTTGTTGTTTTGGATCCTATGATTCTATGTGTGATTTCTATTGGAAATTCAAATAAGCCCTTATAAAATTTGATTTGATGCGTTTTAACAAATGCTTTGTGCAACACAAAGCAACTGGGGGGGGGAATACATTTTTAATTACTATTGTTTTGACTTTTATTTACTCAGTAGCTAAAATTCCAGTAGCAAGTCACAAGTAGAGGAGGTCCACTGATTCAGTGGAGATTTGGTGAGTCAACCCCTATGCAAGTTCCATTGATTTGATGGGCCTACTCTAGTTGCAACTTACTACTGGATTTCAGCTAGTGCACAGGTATTTAAAAAAACAAAAGCAACATTTCCACCTTTGAAATGGAAGGTCCAGATTTTGTTTCTTTCAAGAAATGTCTAATTTGGAATATACGGCCCCACTGCCAGATTAGTTCCAGCTCTGTTGCAGGCACTCGTTGGGCTGTTAACTGGACGGCTCTAGTGCTACCCATCAAAAATCAGCATGCAGCTATTTGCCTTTTCTTTCAGAGTGGCTTGCTTTGCTTTTGTTTTCTTGAGAAGAAGGGGAAAAAACGAAGAAGGGGTAGGACAGGATGGAAGGGCTACAAATAGAAAAGAACATCCCATGGCCCTTCCCCCCCCCCTAAAATTCTGTGCATGGGGCAGTGCAGTTGCACAATCAAGGCCTCACGTGGGAGCTCCCTTGATCAGGTGATGGGGCCAAAAGCGGATGTCCTTTCCAAGCTGGAGACGTGTTCCTGGATCTGTGAGTGACATGAAGTCCCTCTCTTCCACTTATCTTTTAAAGTGTCTCATGTTCTGAGTGAGGTTAGGGGAAATATGAGACCAGCCCGCTGCTGCCTCTTCTTGGCCCAGGCAAGATGATCTGATGTGTCCCTTGGGGCCGCAGTCCATCTCCCTGGTCAGCCACTGTGTGGGTTGTTACAAGCCATACAATGTCATGGGCTCTCTTCTCTCATGGCAGGCGCCCGGCCCTTCTGTGCTCCCCAGTGACCCCCAGAGCCCCAGGCCCATGCCGTCATCGGAACCTCCTGTGCAGCCCCCGGCCTCGAAGGAACAAGAAGAGGAGGAGAGGCGCAGTGCCTTAGAAAAGAGTATGTAAGTGATTTCCTTTGGTTCACCAGTTGACAGACTTGGCAGGAGAAAGAGGGCGGGTGTGGGGAGGGGGAAAGCCTCAGCCTTTGCTGCTTAAGAGACCACGGTTGCTGGGGAGCACAGACCTTGTGAGTGTTTCCAGCTGCTGCTGTTTCACACGCTCAGCTTAGCAAACTCGGGGATATGAACAGCATGCGGGCCCAGGAATGACTTCATGGAACAGAACTGGTTAACCTGTGGCTCTCCAGAAGATGATGGACTGCTGTTTCCATGACCCCTCAGTGGTGACTGGACTGAGTAGGGCTGTTGATAAGAGAAAGCCCAGCGGTACCTATGGAGGGCAATGTAGCTCTTCCTTTCCATGAAATAAGTAATAGTTAAGTAATTTCAGGGCTCATGGCATCACTTTGCACACACTGTGTGTACATGGCCTGTGGCATCTCTGTCGTAGCCCTTGCCACGTTCATGCATAACAGTGATTTGAATATATGGGGGCAAACCATATCAGTACACAGTGTTCCTACAGCAGATCTGATCTGCCTGTAGCCTGCAAAGACTCCTGCAGCCGGGTGTCTTCCTTTTTAGCCATGCAAGGGGCTCTGTGGAGGAGGCTCCCTTGTGTCTCTGCAGCTGGCAACATCTGTTCCAGCGACGGGAGCTGGAAGGGACATAGAAGTCAAGGAGGAAGGCAGGTCAGCCAGTCAAGTTCCTACCCCTCAGACACTGCTGTTTCCTCTTGCTTGCAGGTTTGTTCTCAGGGAGTTGATTGAAACCGAGAAGATGTACGTGGAAGACCTGGGTCAAATTGTGGAGGTATGTCCCTCCACCCACATTTAAGGCACTGCTTTCCCCTGCCCACCAGGAGGGCTGGCTCCAGAGTTTTATAGGATCTGCCCATGTTCCAGAAAGAGGGTACTGCTTATTTATCCTGCTGTTGTACTCCTGAAAGCAGCAGGAAGAATGGACCAAGTGTAGTCTTAGTAATCAGCTGAAGGTTAAATTACAGAATATGTTTAGCCCTTTCTTTAGAGGAGGTGCACCCTCAAGTGGTGAAACATATTTGTTTACAGAGCACTTGATGTTGCTCACTTAGGTATCTTGGATTTACTGTGCCCCCCCATGGGCTTCATTTGCAAGTCTGATTCCTGAAGCACATGTCTCTAAGGAAATTCCACTGTGAACAGGGAAACAAGCTAATCAGAAGAAATTCACATTCCCCTGTCCCTCAGTTCAAGTATCTGTTGGCAGCTGGTCTGTGCCATCTCCACCACTCTGTTTCTTAAATATATAGGTTAGTGGGACTGTGCCTTAACAGTTTCTAAAAGAAACAAGACCTCTATAAATGGTGAAAACTAATTACATTCCCATTGCCCCACAGTGTTCTATTTGAGTGCCCAAACCATATTTCCCACGAACAGAAGACCTCACTTCTTTACTTTTTGTTTTCCTGATAAATCTCAGCTTTCCCAGATTGGTTTCTCTTTATTAATTCTACACGCATGCAAGTTTGTACAGAATTTGTATCTGGCACAGTATTTGGGCCACTCTAAAGTACCCCATGTTTCTTTTTTTGCTTCAAGAATAGGCATGTTTCTAGTTCATACAGTCACTGAAATATTGTAAAAGTGAATTTATAGCATAGTAAAAGGTAGTAAAGAACTCCGAGAAGTCCCAGAAGTACAAGCTGGATTTCGAAGGGGCAGAGGAACTAGAGACCAAATTGCTAACATGCGCTGGATTATGGAAAAAGCCAGAGAGTTCCAGAAAAAACATCTACTTCTGCTTCAGTGACTGTGCAAAAGGCTTTGATGGTGTGGACCACAGCAACCTATGGCAAGTTCTTAAAGAAATGGGAGTGCCTGAACACCTTATTTGTCTCCTGAGAAACCTATACGTGGGACAGGAAGCAACAGTTAGAACTGGATGTGGAAAAACTGATTGGTTCAAAATTGGGAAAGGAGTACGACAAGGCTGTATATTGTCTCCCTGCTTATTTAACTATATGCAGAATACATCATGCAAAAGGTTGGACTGGAGGAATCCCAAGCCAGAATTAAGATTGCCAGAAGAAATATCAGCAACCTCCGATATGCAGATAATACCACTCTGATGGCAGAAAGTGAGGAGGAACCTCTTAATGAGGGTGAAAGAGGAGAGTGCCAAAAATGGTCTAAAGCTCAACATAAAAAAAACCCCCTAAGATCATAGCCACTGGTCCCATCACCTCCTGGCAAATAGAAGGGGAAGATATGGAAGCAGTGGCAGATTTTACTTTCTTGGGTTCCATGATCACTGCAGATGGTGACAGCAGCCACGAAATTAAAAGACGCCTGCTTCTTGGGAGGAAAAGTGATGACAAACCTAGACAGCATCTTAAAAAGCAGAAACATCACCTTGCTGACAAAGGTCCGCATAGTCAAAGCTATGGTTTTTGCAGTAGTGGATGTATGGAAGTGAGAGCTGGACCATAAAGAAGGCTGACCACCGAAGAATTGATGCTTTTGAATTGTGGTGCTGGAGGAGGCTCTTGAGGGTCCCCTGGACTGCAAGGAGAACAAACCTATCCATTTTGAAGGAAATTAACCCTGAGTGTTCACTGGGAGGACAGATCCTGAAGCTGAGGCTCCAATACTTTGGCCATCTTATGAGAAGAGAAGACTCCCTGGAAAAGACCTTGATGTTAAGAAAGTGTGAGGGCAAGAGCAGAAGGGGACGACAGAGGATGAGTTGGCTGGACAGTGTCACTGAAGCTACCAACATGAATTTGACTCAACTCCGGGAGGCAGTGGAAGACAGGAGGGCCTGGCGTGCTCTGGTCCATGAGGTCACGAAGAGTCAGACACGACTTAATGACTAAACAACAACAAAAGGCAGTAATGTCTGTGAAAGATTCCAGATGCTATTGCAATAGAGCAATCTACTAGTGATTTCTACATGCTATCTCTTGCTTTTTCTTCCTCCCTCTTTATCTCTCTCACACACTTACTCTCTAATATCTCTCTCTGTGTAAGTTTCCCCCTTTCTCTGCTGCCACCAGTCACTCTTATTGAATGACATCAGCTTCTGGAATTATGAGAGTTTTTCTTGCATCCATGACTCCACATCATAATTTTACAGTTTTAGTCAAGTTGAGTTTAGTTATTGCCGTCTTCTCTCCTCCTTTCCCCTCCCTCAAACTACAGATCCCAACTTAGTTAAATCTGTCTTTATTTATTTATTTTATTTATTTAATTTATATGCCGCCTACACTACCCAGAGGTCTTTGCAGAGTAGAAACTCCATCCATAAATTATTAGTTTCTCTTTTCTGTGACGAGTTCCGTGATATGACTTTTAGGATGTAAGGCATCTCTTAAAAAGCACACAGTAAATGCTAACACTTATAGATCTATGTCTATAGAATGAATATCTTACCTATTCCTATATGCTAGCTGTGAATTCATTCTTCTGGCGTGGATCTTTATAAAGCCAAAATTAACACTAAAGGGGGGCTATTGTTAGGATTTGGTCAACCTCAAGGTTTGCAAAAATACCAAAAAATGTTTTAGGGACAAGACAGCAAGAGGGAGAAACTGAAAAGGCTCAAACAGTCCAATCTGGACTAAGGATACAACTACAGAGTGAGGGAAATGCAAATTGACTCACATTCATTTACAGTGAAGTTGCACCTAGAAACTCAGGTTTCCCTGGGTCTCTCCACATTAACTGGCCACACAGGGAGAAAGAGAGGAAGCTTGTTTGTAGCTTGTTTGCAGCTCTATTTATAGCCCTGCAGGTGGCGTGGTTAAAACCGTATGACTAATAAGCTATAAACAATGGCTTCCTCCTCTCATTAGGTTTGCTGAAAAATGTTAAAAAACAAAGTTTTCTTCACCTTTAGCTTTAATAGAAAGACCAAAGAAGCAAAAAGGAGAGGAAAGAAAAATCTTGTTCAAAGGGCATTGAAAAATCTTGCTGAGAGGTTTGGATTGTCATTCCCTGAGTATGTTCTGGAGTGGTGGCATTGGTTCAAGCAGTCACATTTCTGAACCAATGTGAATGGATCTGTTTTTTAAAAAGTAGAAACCCCAGCAGTGGAGGAGAAAAACTACAGATTTGTTCAGGGAGATTCCAGACTGATTCACATTTCCCTCTGCGTCATGTGGTCAGCGATAAAAAATAGGAATCGGACCACCCCAGACCCATAGTATTTCCTGCATTTTTCTCCAGTGTAGTCATACCCTGAGTGCAGAATGTGCAGCAAGTTTGGGGGAAGAAACAGGAAAACAAGGGGAGATGGTAGAAGACCATTGAAGAGGGTAAGGCTGCCTATCTGAAATCCAGAATAAGAATTTCCCACAGTACAATATTTTGCTCTGGGTGCCACATGTAATTCTGAACACTAAAGTAGCTATTTCTCGGTAAGCGTTTCTGCTACTTACTGAGCTATAGTCAGGTTTCTATTATGATTTCAAAATCTCTCGCCTGGGTGCTTTCAGTCAATTTAGAACTCATTGGTTTATGTGTGTTAGTTTTAGATTCTTAAGGTAACATCAGTTCATACTGGATTTTGTTTGTGACTTTGCTGCTGAGATTCCCAGTTGGGAAAGATTCTTTTGCAGCTTTTCAGAGTCTGCTTTGGGGATTTTACTCTCCCGAATAATCAGGATCATTTGCCAACTTGGCAATTTACTCCTGATTCCATATAATTTATGAACAAGATAAAGTCCACTGGAGTTTATACTGAAGATCCTTGGGAGACGCCACAGCTTGCTTCCCCCGGTAGTGAATACCGCTCATGTTTTCCCACACTCCGTGGCCCTGTATTTTTCTACCAGCTTACATATCTTTGGGCGGTCTCGTCTTCTTATCCCATGATTGCTGGCTTCCATGTGGAGCCACGGGCAAGAGCCCTTGACCAAAAGCTTCCTGAAAAGCTGCGAATGTAACTTCCACTGGTTCAGCCGAGTTTCTGTGTAGCTGCTGACTCCTCACATGACTCTGAGAGACCAAGTAAGGCAGAACCTGTCACAAAAGCTCTGCCGATTCTTCCTCAGCATGGCTGCTGCTTCTTCTGTAGGTTTGTCCCGTTTTAGCTCTCATCGTGCTTTCTAGTTCAGCAGTGTGCCTGGGACGGATCTGTAATTTCCTGAATATCTCTTCTCTGCTCTCCATCCCTCCCAGTTCCTTTTAAAAAGATTGTTAACACATTGGCTGCCTTCCAGGCTTTCTGGTAAGGAGACTGATTTAAGTGATGTTTCATATTTTAGTTAATACTCCAGCAGTTTCTCATCGGTTCTTCAAGAGCTGTTGGGTGAGTGCCGCCTGGCTGCAGTGTGTTGTTCCTTTTTTGTTCCATTATTCCCCCCCCCCCAGTCAGTTCTAAGGCGCTCTGGTTCAGACCCCCACATCTTTGCTTTAAGAAAGAAGGTTAACAGAAAAGGTTCCTTTAATTTGTCTGCAATTTTGCTGTCATAACAGGAATTTCTATAGCTTTCTCGTGTAATGGCCTCATTGCTTCTCTGTCTGAGTTTGCTGCTTATATTCCTTTTCATCTCTTGACACGTTGGCTGAAACCCTTTTGTGCAGCCAGGCCAGTGGCACAACATTTAGAAGCCAGTTGCTGTAAGTTAAGCAATCTCCCTAGGCATGTGTCTCAGCAGGCAACAGATAAGGTCTACTACCAATTTGTTATCACAACATGTTTTTGATTCGCCAGTCTTGTCCTTGTTTTCACTCTCTGTTCATTTGGGTAAAGTCTGATTTAGGAAAAGTTACTTTTTCAGACTCAACTCCCAGGATCCTCAACGGCCTCGGCCGATGGCTCTTTGAGGGATTCTTGTGATGACAGTCTAATAATACTTTTTGCTACGTTCTGGACTCTGCCAACCCAGATAGCAAAACAGCACGAACCCTGCTGCCCACAATGTGGCCTTAAGAAGGAAGTGGCCTGTCTCCTTTATCCTGCTCTCCTGACTTCTGCAGGGCTATATGGCAACCATGAATGCCCGTGGCATCCCCGAGGGCATGAAGGGCAAGGACAAGATTGTCTTTGGGAACATCCATCAGATCTACGAATGGCACAAAGAGTGAGTGAGCGACTACTCGTTCCTGGACGCAGTAGGGGCATGCAGCACTTACGAAAACTTTGGAGCGGGCCTTGCGGGATATAGCTGGGGGGCAGTAGTGATTTTTTTGTGGACTACCTGTGCAAATGCAAAATGAGCAAGGCAGGAAGGGCAACTACTACAGGGGGATAACAGTGCGGCACTTAGAGGGGGCTGCCTCTCATTCCGCCCATTGTCCAGTCCCTGGAGAGATTAGGGTGTATCTGAACCAACCTTGGGAAGCATTGAGGGTGGAATTTAAACCTACAAGTTGGAATGCAGGGTGAGATGAGCAGGCTGGTGTGAGAAAACGTTCTGTGGATTTGACACCACTTTTTATTCCCTCTCACCCCCATCCCAGTTATTTCCTTAAACAGCTGGAGAAGTGTCTGGAGGATCCTGATCTCTTAGCTGAGCTGTTCATCAAGCATGTAAGTCTCTACTATTGTTAAAGGAAGACCTGCTGAGTTAGGACCTCTGGTCTAAATAGAACCTCCATATTTAGTGGCACTATACCTCTGAATTTCACACACTGGCATCAAACTATGGGAAAGGCTCTCAGTTAAGATTCATGTCCTGCTTGTAAGCTTCTGAAAAAGATCACATGGGATCTTTTCACATTATCACACCTGAGAACCTGATGGCATACAAATGTGGACCCCTTATCTTGTTCTTCCTAGGACCTTTGGGGCCATCAAATTTAGCCTGTGGTCTCTGGATAATTGTCAGCTACATCCTAATTGTCAGCATTATGATAGGGAATATCAGTTAATTACTCTAAGTGAGATCATTAACTATTTAAGGGGATTGGTTGTTTTTCCTTCACAGGTGCTGCACAATAATTGAAGAAATGTCAATATATTCCACTAAATCTTTGCACAATTAATCTGTCTTTTCTAAGACTGTTGCAGGGATTTGGGATAGCATGGGGAATCTCCCCCACTTCTCTAATACTGTAATAAAGCATTAACCAATAGGCACCTGTAATAAGCGATCATTTGCCAAAATATACTCGTGCTGATGGAAGCTAGTTTCAGCTTTCCCAAAGTTAACACTTGAACCATTGAAGCAAATGCTGATTTTAGGATAAACTGGGGTGAGACAGGGCAAACACATGGACTAAGGGCAACAGTACCCTCCATGTTTCCACCTCCAAGAATCTGGAGAGCGAATGTAAAAATCTCACTGTTTTATAGCAAAATACAGAGGCAGCAGTGAGGAGTGGATTTCCCTCATGGTCTCAGCTGTTGTGAAACTTGCATTATTTTTCTGCACAGATGTCTGAAAACAAACATATTGTAGTGGTATATATCAGAGTTGGTTTCCCATGTGTATCGCACAGTGTTCTGTTAGCTGTGGCTTTGACCAACCTGCCTTTGCAGGCCAGCCGCTGAGGTTAGGTGGTGTCTTGAAGTGTTGTATTAAATTGTGTCCCATTCTGTTCCAGGAACGCCGTTTGCACATGTATGTTGTTTACTGCCAGAACAAACCCAAATCTGAGCATATTGTGTCAGAGTTTATTGACACTTACTTTGAGGTAAGGGGGCTCCATGTCTTTGCTGCAACTTTATTCTTTTTTTGCCTTGCCCTCAGCTGCCTTCTGCCATAGGCCTTGCAGGGACCATACCTTATTTGCCATTGAGGTCCATCTATCTCTATCTCTGAGACTCTTTGCCTTTTCTGAGCCAGTGCAGATGAACTCAAGGGGACTTGGCAGCTTCTTCAAATGACCTTGCCCAGAGGCTTCCATCTTGTGGAGAAGCCATTTTACTGAATGATTTGACAGAGGCCCTTTGGTTTAGACCAGAGGAGGAAACTCTTCTGCTTTCCCATTCCAGGACCTGCTGGAGGTGCCACTGATCCCCAAAATGAAAAATAAAATAAAATAAAATAAATAATGAAAGCAGAATTGGCTAGAAGCCCACTTCTAGTTTTATAACAACACTTTTAAAAAAACTATCAAAAGATCCAAGGTAGGCTGCAACTTATTTAGTTTACAAGGAAACTAATTGATGCCTCTGTTTCCAGGTGCATCAATTCTCTTTCTCTCTCTTTGGTTCTAGCTGCCATTTTTTTCCTGAATTCTTTTTCCGTGAGGTGAGGTTATGTGGGTCGATGGGGACCCCAAGAGCATCTTGGTTGTGCAGAAGTTCTCAGCGGGGTGTCATATGTGGCCTACCTGGCTGCGTGATCCCTTCCCTGGCTTTAAGAATCTGTCATATAAAATAGTTCTCTTAAAATGTGGTCTGGCAGCTCCACTCTGTTCTGAGTTCTTTGGCTGAGCCAGAGGCAAAAGACCTGCTTTTCCAGACCCTACTACTTTTAAGTCTAGATAGGCAGTCATTTACAAAACCCAGAGGGTCAGGTTTTGCAATTGGCTTCATGGGCTTCATTTGCCTTGAGGCAGAAGCTGTTGTTGCAAGAGTGGCCAGAGATTCATACCTAAGAGATTTGGACTGTGGGTTGACATTTTGAATGGGCACAAGGGGACAGTGAGCAGGTGTTGGCTTGGCCCAGGCTACAGGACTGTGGGTTGACATTTTGAATGGGCACAAGGGGACAGCGAGCAGGTGTTGGCTTGGCCCCGGCTACAAGATTGCCCTTCTGCTCAAGAATAGATTGCTCTTGCACTGAATTGGGGGGGGGGCACTTCTTTGGCAAGGCCAATGAATGTCAAGATGGCCCTGTGATTTCTCTGGTCTGAGAAGGGGCCTTCCCTGTACATCCTACTACTTAGTGCTCTGTTCCCTGTCAGATTTATTTTAAGCCAAGTTGTGCTCTAATCATATATAAATATGGAAAGCTATCTTAATGGTCTGAGATCATTGGTCCAATATTGTTTATTGCAGTTAACACCATCTCTCTTAAATGCAGCTTTAAAATGGTACTTTTGGGGACTACAGCTCCTAGAATTCCCACACTTGGGGGAGGAGATACTGGGAGCTGCTGTAACTTTGCCAAGCCCTGCTCCCAGGGTCTTTGATGAAGGCATTTCTCAGTCTTGCTGCCAGAGATCCTTTAAAGCAGGGGTGTCCAACCTTTCACCTTACCTGGGCCACATCAGAAGATGAAAATTTGGTTTGGGCCGCACATAAATTTGGTTTGGGCCGCATGGGGGGGGGCAGCCCTATCCGTCGNTGGGCCGCATTATGAGCCAACCTGGGCCGCATGCGGCCCTCGGACCATGGGTTGGACAAGCCTGCTTTAAAGGATTGGACAAGGATCCAACCTCTTGCATACAAACATATCACACAATGAAAGACAAAGAAAGAGGGTGAAAGGGCTATCTTTATTAACCTTTACCAAATCTGGGAGGCACCAGCTTTGAGGGCAAGAATGCCCTGCCATGTAGAAGCTATGGAGGATGAGCAGGGCAGGAGGGAAATTTGGAGATTTCCCTGTAGGTTGGTTGGAATTCAGAAGCCAAGCTGATGGATCCACTGCCCGATTTTACAAATTCTGCTCTCTTTCGATTCCTTCCTTTTCAGGAGCTGAAGCAAGAACTCGGGCACCGCTTGCAGCTCAACGACTTGCTCATCAAACCTGTCCAGCGGATCATGAAATACCAACTGCTGCTCAAGGTGCTGAAGTGGGAGGTGGTGCATTGTTCTCCAAAACAAAGTCAGAGGGGAGGGGAGGGCATGCACAGCAAAGAAGAGGCTCTGTATCTTCTGCTGGTTTGATGCTCTAGGAGTCCTGGAGTGACGATGAGGGGTGCAGGATCTACCCTGCAACATCTGTGCCACCTTCAGGGCAGCAAAGCGCCTGGATGCTAGCAAAGGAGTGGCTTCCCTGCCTGCTGGCTTTCTCTTGCCACCAAAGGGATGTCACCTGTACCTGTCTCTATGGCCGGAACAGCTTCAAATATTTGATTGCCATTCCTGATACATACACTTGGCTGGAACAGCTGATATTTCTCTCCTGCAGATTTTGGATCTGTGCTTACAGGCTCCCCACTTCCTGAGGCACAGGCATGTTGAAAAGGACAGTGCCACTAGGTCTAGTTCCCATTTGAATGAACAGAAATTGAAGGCATCATGTTTTTTTTCATGTATTTGCTTTGAGTGCAAATAAATACTCTCTTAATGTACCAGTGTAGTTACTTAGGAGACTGCCCTCTACAAAGTTGGCTCTCGGTTTGTCTAGTCCAGTGTTGTTTATACCGTCTGGGAGTAGTTTCCCAGCACTTCAAGCAGGGCATGTATGTTGTATGGCACGTCAGCCATACAGCGAAGAGACCGAGAATGGAACCAAGGTCAGCTTGCATGCAAACTCCATGCCTTTTGACAGCACATCATTGTAGCAGCAGATCATTGTAAGAAATGGCATCCCTATAAACACAACACCATCTGCATCAGATTCACAGAAACCATGATTTGCAGCTCCCATGCTCCCCCTTCAGGCTGTTATTTCCTTCAGAAAGGAAAAGAGGATGAGTTTCCATGATGTCTGTCGCTGCTGGCACTAGTGGAGATATTAGGGGCATTATGCCCAAACCCTTATTAATTGCTGGTGGCATAGCTTGGCTCTAGTCACTCCTGGCCTGCGTATCAAACGCTTGTATTGCCCCTCCTCCGGCTAAGGAAAACATTTGCTCATTTTCTCTTTCCCCTCCCCAGGATTTCCTGAAGTACTATGGCAAAGCTGGCAAAGACACGCAACAGTTGGAGGTAGGAGTTGAAATCGTGGGAACCTCTTGTTCTAGCTGTTGTTCCCCCACCCTTATCGGTGAACTGGATTTTACATGACTGGGTTTGGATCAGGACTTGCAGAACTAGTCCCAGAAGGACTAAGATGCATAATAGCTAGTTACATGACTGGGTTTGGATCAGGACTTGCAGAACGAGTCCCAGAAGGGTTATCTTCAATCTCGTATGGTGTAAGCTGGAGAGGACAAATAAATAAATAAATAAATAAATTATCTCCAACCTGGTATGGTGTAAGCTGGAGAGGATATTGTGAATATTGTGTGGCCCTCCAGATGTTGTTGGACTGCTATACCCATTATCTCTCACTATCCGCCATGCATCTAGTGACTATGCTAACAAAGGCTGATGGGAGCTTGCTGTCCAGCAACTTCCGAGGAACCACATGAGTCCCACCCCACCATAAACTTTGGGACAAGGAACTACGTATTAGGCTGTGTTGAAGACTTGAACTAAAGCTTGGAAGCATTACCTCTCTGGACTGTAATTCTCAGAATCCCCTGACATCCCTTGGCCTATTCTAGGAGTTTTAGTCCAAAATGTAACTTTTCCATCCTTGGCCTGAACTTCTGGTGTAACAGTATCCATGTGGCATAATGTTCCTCAGACTGGACCTCTGACCCCATCAAAATATGTGACTTACTTTGTATTATGTCATTTGATTCCATGTGCACCTCCTAGATTTCTTCATGATGGTGCATTCACTCAACATGGGTGGTTTTGTGTGCTTGTTCAACTAGCTATTATGCGTCTTAGCCCAGCAAATCTTGCCATGGTTGGTCCTATCATTAATGAGGTGACTGCTTCAAGGAGCAAATGCTGGGAGATGGCAGCCTCCCCCCCCAAAAAAAAAGTATGCTGCTTATATACCGCGCCATAGAGCTAAAAGTGCTTTCGGGAAGTTTATGCCATGGTTGGTCCTATCATTAATGAGGTGGCTGCTTCAAGGAGCAAATGCTAGGAGGTAGCAGCCTCCCCCCCAAAAAAAGTATGCTGCTTATATACCACGCCATAGAGCCAAAAGTGCTCTCTGGAAGTTTACAATTTAATTATACAGGCTACAAATCACCACCCCCAGCAACCTGAGTACTCTTTGTTTCCTGATCTCAGATGGATGGAAGGCTGAGTGAACCTCAAGCTGGCTACTTGGGATTGAATATAGGTCGTGAGCAGAGTTTTGGTTGCAGCTCTGCAGTTTAATCACTGCACCAAGGGGCCCCCTGCACCAGCAAGGTGTTGGAGAAAAGGAGAAAAGAGGTGCTGTGCAATTTTTCCTGTGCACCACTAGGGTGGCCTGCAGCAGTCAGGTCTCATTGACTTTTGCACATGGAACGGAAGAGGACCACCCTCTTGTTCTTTTCCTCAGACAACAAAATGTTGGGGCTGGCCTTACTGTCCTCACCTCTCTTCCCAACTTTTCCTTTCAGAAAGCTGTGGAAGTGATGTGCTTTGTTCCCAAGCGCTGCAATGACATGATGAATGTGGGGCGTCTTCAGGGCTTTGAGGTAGGTTTTGAGAATCCACAAGGGGGGCGGAGATCCCACTGATCACTTGGGAACCTAAGTCTTACAGAAGTTAATTTCACTTTTTAGGCAGATATAATACGTATGCATTTGAAATATTTATATGCCACCTTTCTCCTTAAAAAGGATCCGGAACAGCTTCCAGCATTAAAAAGAAACAATATTAAAAGTAAAAACAATAAAATGTTGCAATATTTGAAAAGAACTCAACAAATGTAATATTAAAACAAGTACTGTAGTAAGCAAATAAAAACAACTACAACAAAAATGCAACCCACCAATTTTTTTTTAAATGTTACCAATCACTAAGAAACAGTTTGCCTGAACACAAAACTCTTTGCCTGCTTGTAGGACAGCAAAGAGGGGGCCAGCCTCTTTATCCATAGGGGAGGGAGTTTCAGAATCTGGGAGCAGCAGCAGAGAAGGCCCTCTCCTTTTCCCCCTAAGACAGTGGTCCCCAACCTTGGGCCTCCAGATGTTCTTGGACTACCACTCCCAGAAGCCTTCACTACCACCTCTGCTGGCCAGGATTTCTGGGAGTTGAAGTCCAAGAACATCTGGAGGCCCAAGGTTGGAGACCACTGCCCTAAGACATAGCTGTGAAGGTGGTGAGACCGAGAGAAAGGCCTCTCCTGATGATCTTAACACATGGGCCAGCTCATAAAGGGAGATGCTTGAACCCAAGCCATGTAGGGCTTTATAGGTCAAAACCAGCACTTTGAATTGTGCTTGGAAATGGACCAACAGCCAGAGGAGCTGCTGTAGCAGGAGATCTTTATGATCCCTGTAACTAGCCCCAGTTAACAGTCTGGCTGCAGCAATTTGGACCAAAATCAACCCCATGTTGACCTCATTACAGAGCTCCTCTTAACACTGACCCTTTTGGAGTGGGGCTGGTGCTGGCTAAGTAGGGTTGCTTGGGATTGAGTGGAGGTCTAGTATTCCATTGGGTGTGATCCTTGCATCCAAATGGCATATCAGGGCTCAGGCCAACCCTGTTAATATTGTGAAATGGTGTGAGCCACTTCAGGATACCAGCAAATTCCTCCGCTTCTTGGCAGAGGGGCAGAGGAAGTGGGAAGAAAAATAATTAAGACTCTGGTAATCGCTGAGGCACTGCATCACTTTTTAAAAAAGAAATAAAAAATAATAATATTTTCTTTGGTTTGTCCAAAGGGCTAGTGGAGAAACTGCCCAAAGCCAAATCCATGTTTTGTATACTGATATTCTAAAGTGGCTCGATTTTTAAGCCACTTTCTGATCTCAGAAATGTCAGTTGAAGAAGCTTTGACAGCCCGGAAGGCTCGCTTTTGGTCCATTGCCAGTGATCATACACTCTGGAAATGGACCATGCATTGATGGGGCCTCAAAAAGGTATGGGTAGAGCCGTTTTGGGGGTGGTTTGATTCACTCCAGTGATTACATCATGTGATCACCAGGAAAAAAAAGAGAGTGAACCAAACCATCCCCAAAGAGGACCAAAGAGCAGAACAAATGCCCATCTGACGGAGCCCACAGTCATCCAACTAGGATTGTCACCATGGCCAGATCAGGCCTTGCCAGGAACAGTAGAGAGGATGGGTGAAGTGGAAGAGGGTGAAAAAGGATGGTTATTTTCCATGAATGTCCATTCTTAGTCAGTGTAAAGGAAGAATTGAAAAGGGGTAATTCCTTCATCTCACAATAACAGAGCATCTCTTGGGTTTGTTTGGTTTTTTTGTTTTTAATTTTTTATTTTTTGGTGGCTGTAATGTAACCTGGAAGAAGGGTAGAAATTGAGGAGAGAGCAGTCAGAATACACTAGGAATTCTGAAATATCATGTGGTGCCTACCGCCCTTTCTAGAAGTGTTCTGTCTCAAATATGAGTGTAATTTTGCATGTTTAAATGCTACCCAGGCTAAGAACAGAAACAAAACTTGTCTGCATGTAGAAAGTTATTATGTTAGAAAGCAATGGGCTCACTTAGCTGTCTCCTTGGCAAGCTACTGTAGATTTCCATGGATGGGATATTTTTGAAGTGACATTGCATACAGATCTAGAAATCCCCATCTGTATATGTGATACAAAACATTCTGCTTGTAAGAATGGGTCGTTTTCCTGCCTTCTACCCACTGAAGTAACTAGGAGTTGCCCTTTCCTCTCCAGGGGAAACTGACCGCACAGGGGAAGTTGCTGCAGCAGAACACTTTCTGGGTGATGGAGCAAGCAAGTGGGATCCTGGCCCGGGGCCGTGAGCGGCGCGTCTTTCTCTTTGAACAGATTGTCATTCTAAGCGAGACTTTGGAGCGGCGGCGTGGCCCATATGCTGCCCCAACTTATGCCTTCAAAAGCAGTATCAAGGTATTAAGGAGCTTTTGGTGGAGAACCTGGGCAAACCTGGATACCTGTGTCACAAGACATTTTTATACTAGGGTTGTCTCTCTCTCTTGTTTCTGCATTGTGTTGTGCCTCTGCAGAATATAATGTTGAGAATCAAATTCAGCATCCCAGGAGCCTTAGCCTTCATTGATACAGGGACATTTACAGTACTAGTTTTCTGGCTGTGCTTGAAACTGTGTGGCCAGTGCCCGATGCTGAGTGAAATCTCTGGGGCAGGGAGCAGATGTAATGGAAAAAAGGCAGGTACTCTAGCTGTGGATTTCCTTCATCAGTAGAGGGTTGGATCAGGTGACCTCTGGGTCCCTTCCCACTTTACAGTGCTGTGATTCTACAGACATATTGTTTGATTAACATTCTGAAATACTAGCTGCAGGATGTTTCTTGGCACCGTGTGCACTTGGCTTGAAGGGAAATGTTGGCGTTTAGTTTAAAGCACAAGCTTTGCTGTATTCCAAGACCCAAGTACTTCCTAGGAAGTGGTGCACATTCAGAGGCATCCAGATCCATTTCCAGAAGAAGGAAAAAGTGCAGTCTCTTCTCGAGGAAGCATTTTTTGAATCTCCTATGACTTGATCTTTGATGAAGCAAACCCCCACATCTGTCATGTTTGCGTACCCACTGCCCGTGTCTCCTCCAGGTAAGCTGTTTGGGCCTGGAGCCCAGTGTGGACAACGACCCTTGCAAATTTGCACTGATCTCTCGTGGTGCCGAACGGGGCAACATCCGTTACATACTGCAGGCTGAAACGCCAGAGATTGCCCAGGCCTGGGTAGCTGACATCAGCCTCATCTTGGAGACACAACGTGACTTCCTCAATGGTAAGTGGCAGGAAGTTGAAGGTGGTCGGTCCCCATTTCCAGCCTGCCAGGATTAACTCCCAGGCCATGCAGTGTCCTTTAAACTACATCCATAATTATTCAGAGGGTGGTCCTCCATATTTCTTCTCTCATTTTCCTAGCCACTGATGTGAACTGTTTTCTCACTGTAATTTGCAAAAGCCTAGGGACCTTTAGTTGGTTTACCGAAGACAAATAGCTTTCAAAGAATAACAACCAATTCTGTGGCACCTTAAAGGCTAACACATTTAAGATAGTTGCCTTTTAAAATTTCAAAGAGTAATTTTAATTGGAGGCTTTCAGATTTATTAACTCATTTGATTACCTTTCACTTGAATTAAATATGGTTTGATGTTTTCTGTAATAAAAGGAGTTAACCTGTTATTTAATTACTGTATATTATTTCATATATATGGTAAATATATTGATCTATTAATCAAGGAGATGTTTTCTTCTCTCGTTTGTTTATTTGAAATACTTTTATCCTGCCTTTCTCCTTAAAAAGGACCCAAGGCGGTTTACATCATTAAAAGACAATATTCAAAACTAGCAACAGTGAGTACACAAATACTAAAAAGGATCACATTGTAGAATCATAGAAAAGTGAAGTTGGAAGGGGCCTACAAGGCTATCAAGTCCAACCCCCTGCTCAGTGCAGGAATACAATCAAAGCATATCTGCCAGGTGATTATCTAAGATTATCTAAGGTATTCCTTGACTGTTTATCAATCTCCAGCTGCAATCCTGCCCCCCTACACGCACACACTTGCACTTCCAGTTTGTTTGGAAGTTCATAGTCTTTCTTATGGGAAAAGGCTGAACTAACGAATGAATCCTATACTAAGAAACATAAGCAACACCAAATTCAAAGCAGCAAGCCACAACAATCCATTTAAAACCCTTGCTAAGTCAGTGAGGCACTAAGTGGAAGCCTGCTTGAAGAAAAATGTTTTGACCTGCTTGTGAAAGGACAGTAAAGATGGGTCCAGCCTTGCCTTCTGTGGGAGGGAGTTCCTAAAAGTCTGGGAGTTTATGAGTTTAGCCTCTGCGTTGTTTCATCCTACAAGTATATGTGAATCTGTTACATATATATTGTGAAAGCCATTCCAAGGTTCCCTGTATTTCTCACACCCTAGGATAAGCAATAACTGGTTGAAAGGGTGGGGCATGTTCTCACGTTTTCCCATTGAGTTCCCTGTGACAGGCTGTTGTCCCAGAACCAGAGCATCCTAGCTGAGCTGGGACTGGTGACATTCAGGTTCAAGCCCTGACTGAACCATGACACTCAATGTGTGACTTCAGACCAACAGCCTTTGTTTAGCCAGAGAACCATTCTTGATTAGACCAGAAAGAGAGCCATAATCTCACTGGGAGGAAATGTGAGGGGTATCAGTGTAACTATTAGATCAATAAATAATCTTGAACACAACTGGTAAGGAAAATTCTGTTGCCTGGGATTTTTCAGCCATTGAGTTCTGTGGCCGGTGAATTGCCTTTCTAAAAAAGCTTTTCAGTTGAGTCTGTATCCTCCTTCGTCCAGTGACGTTGATCCGATTGCTCTACTCTGAATTGACTGATCCAAATTATCCCTTGTAAAAGTGGATTAGAAAAACCTCACTTCACTTCTGAATCACATCTTAAAAGAAAAAAAAATCAATCTGCCTTTTGTCTGTCTTGATCGTAAGTTTAAGAGGCTGGCTAAGGAATACTGAAGAAATACTAGTTTTATAAGTTTGACTTCTTGCGTATTCCCTGCCAGTGAGAGCTGATTCGCACATATGTATGTTCATTGCTTATTCTCTTATATTTTGGAGATAAAGACTAACTTTCTACACATTTAAGAGAAAGGATGTTGCAGAACAGTGTATCATTTCAGCCTGAATACTGACCTCAGATAACAAAATAAACAAAGAAAACTGTAAAACTTCCTATTCTTCCTTTCTTGCTTCCTTGCTTTAGTCAACAACTACAGAACAAGCACATGTGAACTGACACTCCTTGTGTTTATGATATCTTTTTGTTGCTGAAGGCTGTTCTGCCCCCCCTTCATGTGATCCTGCTGTTCATTGTCCCTTCTTGCCATTCCCCCCTCCCCCGCCAGCACTGCAGTCGCCCATCGAGTACCAGCGTCGAGAGAGCAAAACCCACAGCCTGGGGCGGACGGGAGCCCTGCACCACTCACTGACCAGCGGATCTCCCCGCCCTTCCTCCTCGGCCTCCATGGACCAGAACAAGGGGTCCAGCCTCCAGCCCCACAACGCCTCCCTGCCTTCCCTTTACCTGCCTGGCCCAGGGCAAGCTGAGCATTCACCTGCTGCTGAGGTAAGGAAGGAGGGTTGTAAGGAGGAGTGGGCGAGGCTAGCTGATCAGGCCAGCCTGACACGGCTGAAACTCCTTTGGAGGTGAAAAAGCACGCTTGAAACAGGTGGGTCATGCTGCCTGGCACTGGGTGAGAAGCTGTTGTCCAAAAATTAACTTTCCCAGGCCCTGAAGGAGGCTAGTAGTTAACCCTCAGTTCAGTGTTTTGTATTTACTTCAACTGTCTCTCCCCAACCTGGTGACCTCCAGATCCAGTATAGACTACAACTCCCATTATGCACAAATGAATGTATCTGTTTGGCAAATTGTAACTCAGGAAGAAGTTCGTTGTAGTCTTCTTCTTATCATCAAACATTCTGTTGTTCAAGGGATAATCTCCTTGTCATACATTCTCCTTATGACATTTCTCTGTTATTATTTTATAATAAGCAAAAACTATAATACATAACATTGTGGGGGAACCAACAGGACCCCAATTTTAATAAGGTCATCAGTGCTCATTGCTAAAACTATTTTAAAAAATGATGTCTATAGGGGGGACAAAGAGGACCCTCTGATAGAGAAATGTTGTTTGAAAAAGTCCAGAGTGCCAGTTTCTGTTCTCGGGAAGAAGCTGGAAAAGAAAGGGGTGTGGGCACGGATGTTTAGTGGCCATTGGAACTGTCTGGATTTCTGTTACCCAGCTAGGCAAATAGCTGTCTATTGAGATGATCTCTAGTGTGGTGGGGGAGAAAAGAGTAATGTGGACAATGTTTTATTAAAAGGATATGTCATAAATTCAGCCGTCCCCCGCCTGCCCCCCCCAGAACCCTCTGGATCTTAGATTATAAGTGCTATTATGGGTATGCTGGCTGGGCATTAGAGGAATTGCAATCCAACACATTTAGAAGGTGCCAGATTAAAGAAAGCTGCTATAAATGTTTGATCCTTGGGAGACCAGACGCAGACCATAGCCATCTGATGTGATTTAACTGAATTGCCAGAATTCACACTTCTCCTTCCTTCCCTGAAAAGTCAAAATATTGACCAAGTTGATAGTAGAGTCAGCCAAGCTTTGGAATTTGCATTGCTTGCTTTCAGTGCGCGGCTCTCTGCGTGTGTGTTTTCAGGAAGATTGGCAGATTTTTCTCCAAGATCACTTTCTTGTATACATAATGCCTCACGGAGAATGTCCCCTAAATGCTAAGCAGGGCTTCTATGTTGGGGCCTTTCTCCTGAAATTAACCCCTCTTTACTTTAGCCACAGCCATCTCGCAGCCAGAGCTCTCCAGGGTCTCGGCCAGGTCATATACCTTCTGATGAGAAGCAGCTCCCCAGTGCCCCCCTGCAAGAGTCCTTGCACGAGGTGAGTGTTCAAATATCCAAGCGGCAACTACCTTGGCAAATAATATGGGAATTGCTCTAGGACTGGGACAGTCAGATTTGTATTAATAGAACCCCTGTATCTGCAAGATCAGTATCCACAGTTTCACTTATTGGTAGTCTGAAAATATTAAAAACCACCAAAGAAAAAAATCCAGAAAAAACTATTTTAACATGTATTTCCAGAACTGGCCTCTAGAGGGAGCCAGGGAACACACTATGGACACTTGTTAGTGAAGAATACAATAGCATGATCATTGGCATCCTCTAGCGACCAGTTTTGGTAATGCATGTGATAATTTTTTCCTTTTTTTTTTCCTTTTACCATACTATATATGTAGTGCTATTATCCATGGTTTTCAGTATCCGTGGGCAGTTGTGGATATGGATATACTGTATTTCCTATGGATTACAAGATGTACAAGTTGAATCAAATCAGCCTGGAGCTTTCCGCCAATCTGATTTTTTTTTCTCTTACAGCTGAGGCTTCTCTGTTTTTCTTTTTCTTTTTGCATTTGCATCAGCTCGGGTAGTGTGATCGCGGGTGCTGATGCATTCAGTTTGATCCTTTTATAGTGGGGTTTATAGCCATTCTATTCAAAGCCATTGCACTCAGCCACAGGAGCAGGGAGGGCAGGGCAGCTGATGAGAAACTGGTTCCCATTTGAATCCTCTCTTCCCTCAAACCTGGTGCCAGAATCTGCTTGCTTTCCTCATCCCTTCCCATTTTGTTTCTTTTTCTTTCTTTCTTTCTTTAAAGGCTTGGTACTGTTGTGCTAGGGCATCTAGGAGGCCAAAATGGGGTGAGAGCAGGAAGTCAGCAAGGAGGAAGAAATTACTAATGAAGACTTCTTTGCAGCGTGTTAAGGTGGCTCTGATGTCATGCCTTCTGCATATCTGGATGGCATTAGCAGAGCTACCTTAACAAGCTACAAACAAATCCGATTGCCAGGGTAGGGTGGTTAGTTGGGTGCAGCTGTCCCCAACAGTGCTGGGCACTGGTCCGAGTTAGAAGGAGCTGGAGCTTGATAAGGTCCAGGGGTCGGCTGACCAGAGCGTAGTCAGGAATCCTTTCTCTCAACAGAGCCTCCTCCTGTTCTTCCACTGTGTCCTTCCAGGTGCTCTCCTCTTCTGTACCTGATGAGCTTGTGCCATAATGCCTTGGCTTCCTGAGTCCCTGCTGCTTTCCCCTCCTTTTGTTCTCTCTCTCCCTTTGTTCCTGCCAGCTGGGTGGAGAGTTGCTGCCCCACCCCTTTGCCTTGGTGGCCTTCCTGAATCAGCTTTCCCTCCTGGCTCTGAGCCAGCCGGCCAGCCTCAGTACCAGCCCAAGGCCTGGCAGTAGGCAATTCGAAGGCATACAGGGCAAGAGCAGATGGCCTGCCAGGGCAACCAGATGTGACCCCCCCTTCACATACATTTTTTCTCTCTTTTTTCTCTCCTTACCTGTTAGGTGTAATAGAGTGATGAGAATGTGGGACTAGGGCACATGAGACTTGGGCTCAAATCCCTACTCATCTATGAAATTTATGGGGCAACCCTGGGCCAGCCCTACTCTCTCTTAACCTTGTCTATCCCACAGTAGAAAGGAGTTGGAAGGGAGGCACAATCGGTTATGAAAACAAAGAAATGACTAGGCACTGAACTACCCTAATAATTGAAAAGATGAAACCATGAGTTGCTGCTGATTTGAAGCCCCTGGAACCCCACAGTGTTGTTTTTCCTGGGGGTGGGGGGCAATGTTAGAAATGGTTCTTGAGAAGGATGGTGTTGACTGTTCTTCTGTTTCCTGTCAGGCACCAGGTGATGATGATGCCAGGCCTCTGCTCCCTGATGCTGATTTTCCGGAGCTCAACTTCCCTCAAGGCTGTGCCCAACTTGCCAAACTCGATGAGGATGAGCTGTGACCCTTGGACTATGCGTGGGGAACCTCTCTTGGGCCCAGGGACTTTGGCTGAGGAGGCCATACTGATTCATCCCCTGCCCCTCCGTTCCATCTCTCCTCGTGACAGCTTCAACGGGGGAGGCGGAGAGAGATGCACAGCAGCAGCAGCAGCAGCAACATAGTCCTGACAGAAACTATTGCTGCCCTCTGGTCCTACTCTTAATTCTCAGATGTTTCCTGCCTACAAAAGAAGCAGGACGACACACACACCCCGTTTGAGACCAGAGAATACTGCTGGAGGCCCTTCCCTTTCCCACAGACCCTTGTATATGCATGTTGTGGGTTCTAAGGGGCTTCAGATCAGGACTCTTGGATGGGGATTGGGGAGTCAGAATCGGGTGGTGTGAAATGAGAAGTTTTATTTTGTTTGTTGTCATAATAAAGATTTTAGTTAAAACAAATATGGAGACAAATTGCTGCAAGGCCCTTTGTCACACAAGGACTGTGTGTTGCAAAGCCATCACTCAGTAAGGCCATATTTACATGGCTTGATCCTTGTGGCATCTTTTCTACTCATAGCTTGCACACTCCATGTTGAGCTCTCCTCTGTCTCTCCACGTCAGTGTTGCTTGACATAAAACTAAAGACTTTGTAATGCCTTATGGGGCTGTACGTATCAGGACATAATAAAAATTAATCTGGTCCTTCGCAGGTCTGAAAATTAGATAAACACAATTCGGATGAACAGCAACATATGACATATCACACCACGTCATGAATTATTTTACAAAAATAAAGCCAAAATGGAGACGCCATGTGTGAAAAACAAAGTACACCTTACGATTCAATAACTTGTAGAACCACCTTTTGCAGCAATAACTTGAAGTAAAAATACTTCCAGTCGTTATTTTCAGCCTCAAATACTAAAAATATTAATCTCCCCAATCTTCCTATGACTACATGCCTTCTGTAATTTGAGAAAGAGATTTTAGAATGTGATCCCAAAAGACCCACCTATGCCGTAAATTTACAGATGGAGAAGTGACCCACAGGCTCTAGAGACGGGGAGGAAAACTGAACAAAGAACATTGTCACTAAAGACAATATCTCAATAAATCATTAGTGAAACAGAAAAAGCAGGAAAAGTGCCTTCTCTGGAGGCAGCAAGAAGTAGTGGAAGCAGTCTTTTGTGCTGTCCACAGAATATTGCAACGGGTCAACTGCAAGAAGGTGCAGCAAACTATCCCTGTGTGGATTTTTTTCTGTGTACTGTAAATCAAGCTGTAAGTTCTCTCTTTGCCTTGATTAGAAAATGATATTTTTGTTCCCCAGATCATTATATTCTTCCCAGGTATCTTCATGTCTCCAGCAATGTGCTACAATACATCATGTCCAACGGCATTTGTGCAGTCCAGTTTTCTACCAGTATCTTCATGTCTCCAGCAATGTGCTACATCATGTCCAATGGCATTTGTGCAGTCCAGTTTTCTACCCAGAAACACCAAGAAGATTATTAGGTTACTCCACCAAGACTGACAAGAGTTAGTACGTTTCCAGTCTTCATAACTCACTGCAACAGATTCCTGGACAACTAACTGCAACACAGAGATAGGGTTCTATCCATGGTTATAATTTGCCTTCTAACACTTTTGCAACATCATGGCTTTCTCGCTGATTTCTTCTTTTGACAGCATTTGCTGTACTCATTCATCGTGGCTGTCAAGTGTTGCCTCTCTAGCCCAGCCAAGTCTTTTCTGTCACATGCATACTGAGTGTTGTGTGCTCGTGTTTCTGTAGCTGCTCAGAGCAAACAGCTTTGACGTGCTGTTTGCATTCAGTCACATTAGCAAAATTATTCAGAAATATTAGTAGCAGGCTTGTCTCTAAGGTTTCACAGCTCCTGCTCCCAGCATCCTGTGGCAATCTTTCCTTGGTGATTTGGAGCACCCAAAGTCAAACACCCACCCATTTTTTGTATGTCGAGGCCCATGCACCCTTCCTCACAACAATGTCACCAATAGTAAATCTAGTACTATGATGAACAAACCACTTGCCCTTTTTTGCTCTCATGACAGGCTGCATAGAAGATTTGAACTAGGGAGTCAAAACCACACAGATTTTCAACTACCCATATCTTCTCCACTAAAACTGTTTCACTTTTATCTCCATCACCATTTTCCAGAATAGCAACTGAAAATGAAGGGCTTAGTTGAAGAACATTGATTTTAGTGTGTGTTAATGATGCACCTACGGTTGAGGTTTGAGTACTCGCTGTTGTGTGTTAGACCAAAGTGCCAGGTTTGTGGGATGCAACAGGGCAACACTAGAAGGAAACACTGGCATACGTTTCAGGCAGGAGGGATTTGACACCACTGGGTTTTGTATTATCTTAAGGCACAACCCCTGCACGTGAGGTTTTTCCCCAACCACTTTTGTGTGATGGAACAAACCCTCAAGTTTGTCAAACACAGAAGTTCAAAACTAGAACACAGTTCTGACGTGGATTTTGAAGAGGTACAATATGAGGGATGTTTTGATTACTGCAGTCCCACCAGAGCAATCCAACATTGTTGCTTTGGATTAGAAAGATGTGGTTTCCCTTGGCAAAGGAAAGGGTCGTGATCAGGAAGAAGGGCGTTTTCCTGTCAACCTCCAGCTTTTTTATTCTATGCACATTAAAGGCCACACAATCTGTTTTTAACAAAGGAGGATTTATTCAAAGTGTGGATCCTAATGGGTCCTGTCTGAGGTCTCCTGTGAGAAACAGGTAAATAGCAATTTTCAGGGAATCTGTTTTGCATTCCTTTTCTTGGCAGTTGGCAAGGAAAGCCTGATGGTGCCTTGTCAGGTATGGCGGCTCAGAGCTTCCGCTTCTGCCCTGTATTAAACACATTCAGTTGACATATCCTTACACAGATTGACTCAAAATGTGCATTAAATGGCCAGTGTTTGGGGAGAGGTACCAAGGGGACTCCTATATTATATATTGTTTTAAGGTACACGGGTAGACACAGTATTGTACTAGTGCTATGCATATGGATTATGCTAACATATCACTTTGGCCGTCCTCTGAGCCAGGAAAAAAAACACCAACCACCTGTGGGCACATTTGATCATCAGTGAAAGCATTAAAAATGTTTCCATTTTCAGTGTGTTGTGTCTCAGGGCTGATTTACCTGAAGATAGTAGGTTATCAGCTCTGCAGATTCCGGACTGCACCGTTCCCAACAGTACCTTGTATTTTTTAATGCTCTCCCACAGAAAGCACTCACTGCATGTCACAGTCAGAGAGGAAGAATCAGCATAACCATGTCTGTGATGTCCTTGTTTACAGTGTTCTAATCTGGAGGAGTATTTTTAAAATGGCCTATGAGGGGAGCAGACACCATGGAAAATGGAGGCTGATTGTTATGTGCAGGGGGAGAATTTCTATGACATTTCACATTTTCTCTGCAACTTATATTTGAACCCATAAGCAAGTTTGAACTTGTTTATGGGTGATCTGGCCTTTCTCACCAGATTACTTATAAACATGTTCAAACCCACCCATAAACTCAAACGGGGGGGGGGGGGGGATGACACATGATAAGAATCCTCCCCTTAGCAACTGTAAAGCTGTAATTTCTTCTGGAAGGGAGATATTTTCATATTTCTATTGTCATATTTTAGAAAATATTGTAACATTTTAGAAATAGCATTAATAGACAGACAGACAAGTAAACACTCCGCAGTTTGAAGCAGGAGGCATATTCAATTATTTTCAGGGTGCACAGAGAAAGGGCCATGGCCTCATGGCAGCAGGCTTGCCCCCCCCCCCGATTTCCATGTAATTGTTCAAATGGGTGGAAGGAGCCAGCTGCGTCTTTCTCCTGTCAGGTGCCTTGCCTGGACACAAAACAACTTGGTCCGGTGGATGGAGAATAAACAGAGTCTGGTGATCGGAGCCCTCCCCAGGGAATTTAGAGATGGGAATTTCCAGTGGAAGTTTGGACATTCACTGTGCCTTCAGCTGCCAGTCTCCTCCTGCTTTGATGTTTCCTTCTTTTGCTACCAAAAAGAAAAAAAAAAGGGGGGGTGTCTCAAAATATCTTTGTTTGAATTTAAGCCTTTTAAACCCCACATCCCAAATGTCAAAGCAAATTTCACTCCTCTTCTTCATTCGTGTCAGAAGCAATCCAGTGGGGTTTCCGGAGTGGAAGAACCAGCCCTGCCATTGCCCAGAGGACACCTAAATATATTTAATGTTCAAAAGAACAGCTGTATTACTTTTATGGAGATTTCCATCCACACATTCTTTGGGGAGATTTGGTCTGTGTACAGTGATTTGTGGCAGCATGCAAACTGGCCTGAATGTGACTGAGGACCTCTTCAACCACCCTGTATCTGCCCCAGTAATGTAGAAATATCCCTGCCTTGCCACATCCCTACTTGGCATGTCTGGCCATTCAAATTAAGCACCAACATCTCTCTCTCTCTCTCTCTCTCTCTCTCTCTCTCTCTCTCTCTGTGTGTTTTAAACTTATACTGTTGTTCATGATAAAGCCCTGGTGGGAATCCTGTGATTCTACAGGTTCTTCTAGATGGAAACTCTCAACCTCACCACTGGCTGTCACAGCTAAGGTTATTGGGACTCAGGAGTCCTACATCTGGAGGGCCATCGTTTCAGCTCCATTGCTGTAAACTCCTGCTATAAGTAACATTGCCAGAGTTTGCCAGAACAAACAACAGCTGGCATGCTCTATGCTCTACATTTATGAACATGATTCTGTCCCGACTTTTTGGGCTCTCAGAGTAAAAAAAAACAAAAAAAAACTCTGCTACCTTGAGCTCCTACATACATTTCTCAATGAGAACTTCTGTCCTAATTATCTTTCAGTGGAATAATGCGGGGAGAAGAACATGCCCGCCAATATACCTTCCCTAGCCAATATGGTGATTAATACAGTATTGGGAATTGCAGTCAATAATTTTTGGAGTGTCAGATTTTGTCACCCATTTCTCTACTGTCACTCTTACTTTCAAGATCGGCTTCTCCCCCTTTGTTTTAATTTTGTTTTCCAGGATTCTTTCTTCAATTAACAAACCATAAGCAACTCTTCATTTAAATGGAAACTTCAAAAAAGTTTTACAAATTCTTTTGTGTGTGTGTGTGTGTGTGTGTGTGTGTGTGTGTGTGTGTGTGTGTGTGCGCGCGCGCGCGCGCGCGCGCGCAATTAGACTGGAGGTGCTACTATCCCAGCTTGAAGCTCTTTCAGGAGAACATAAGAGAAGAATCCTTGTGATGTTGTGATCACCAGTTGTGTGGTGGAGCCAGAACTGAGAAGATCAACAACCTCTGACTTCTTGATTAGCAGAGACCGTGACAGCATCCACAGCGATCCCACCCATTTCCATGTTCCCCCTGAGTTTAGCTACAGGCCTTATGGTAGCTTGGGGTACATGGATTCCCCTCACCCTGAAC